CCACTCACTGATAACAGCATTTTATTACCATCACAAATGTATGTATACAGCACACGTTACATGTAAAACGCATCGAAAATACATGTCTATCAAAAGACGAGGGAAAGCAGGACCTTTAGACTACGGTAACATGCAATTGACCAATCAGATTCCGAGTTTGGAGGTAACTATTTTTGTTAGTTACCTCTTCCGCGGTAACTATTTCGCGGCCCTGCGGCACTTACTTACGCGTATTAGCCATGGCAACCACGCCTTGAATTCGAGAGACGCCGTGCGTGCGTAAGGCAAACGGAGCTTCTGGAGAGGTTCTTTCTCACGAAAAACCAGGTATCCGTCTTCTAGTAGGAAGCGGTGCATGACTTCAGGGCCCTAGCTACAGCTCGAGCCAGACGTGCACGCTAGCAGTATGAGAAGCGCCCAGCGGCCCCGCCTACTTTCACGTTAGCGAGCCGCGCTGCCTGCTACTGCTTGCTGGTATAGTCGTTGTTGTACGCCTGCTCGAAGTGGCTGCTGGCAGCTGCAAATAGCCTGTCTACATCCAGTTCGTCCTCAGCAAAAAGCTCTAGCCTTACATCCTCAATGCAGCGTGCGTTGTTAGCGCTGTAGTCTAAGATGGTTAGATGCGTTGCCTTGGGAACTACGTGATTTAGTGAGCTTCGGGGCCCTGGTACTAGTGCCCTCGCTGCGCTCGGGACGCCGACAGCCAAGGGCCCTCGGCTCACTAAATCGCGTAATTCCCACGGCTCAGCATCTAACCTATACTTAGTGCATAGCTGATTTAATAAATCTAGGAATCTGATTTGTCCACACGAGGTACTATTTCCCGTAGTATACCTGGGACGCTCCGTGTTTTTCATGTAAAATTTTCACGTGGAAATGACAAGATCACGTACATCATCTACAGAAACATGTAGCTTTATTGTCTACAATAATGCTTTTTTAGTTTCAGCAGTATGCACAAAGAGACAAGAAGTCTGGGCCTAGCTATGTGTAGCGCCTGTACGCTAGCGCTCGCTAGCATGGAAATGACGAGATCACGTACATCATCTACAGAAACATGTAGCTTTATTGTCTACAATAATGCTTTTTTAGTTTCAGCAGTATGCACAAAGAGACAAGAAGTCTGGGCCTAGCTATGTGTAGCGCCTGTACGCTAGCGCTCGCTAGCGGTACGTCAGCCCGCGTAACGTGCACGTAGAGTGGGTGGAGCCATTTTCCTCAAAGCGCGGCGGAGTGCCCAATACTGTTTCACTGGTGGCTGAAACCTCGCTTGAGTTTCTTACCAATCACGTCTTCACGCTCATTCGAATTTCAGTTGCCTGGAAACGGGCGCTGTGCGTGTGCGGATTGCTCTACACTAAACATGTTAGTTACTCCGTATACTCGGGAACTACGGGATTTCAATGAACCCTCGGGCCATCCGCGTAGTTGCCCTCGCTGTGCTCAGGTTCATTGAAATCCCGTAGTTCCCTCGTACAGAGTAACTAACTAACTTATAGACGGCGAACAAGGGTTCATACAGAACTTTGAGATTGTAAGTGAAATGTCTGACAACTCGGAATTGCAGATAGGATATTCTTTGTGTATAATTGTATCATCACGTAATTAGCAAAAAAAACGAGAGAAAAACAGCCCAAAACCTTCATACTTTTAGCAAGCATGGATCTAAAACTGCGAAAACAATCAATAGGTGGTATTCACCTAGTGATTTGTTACGCAGTTTTAGAAACCACGCAAGTGAAAATACAGGCAAGCCAACCATCTTAAACACCTTGTTAGAGCATAGTTCGATTCAAATCGACCAATCAGATTTGTTAGTATGAGGTTCCTCATTTCTCATATGAACCTCGTGAACTAACAAAAGTAACATGAAAACATTATATTAATTAAACCTTGTTTTTTCTGTTGATTTTCACACCATTTCATGTAGGAAATGTATCCCGCAAAACATGATCTGTACAAACTGTTAATCATAACTGATGTATCTTGATTTTCTTTTTCCACAAGACAGTTTCCTGTGTCTGCTTAGAGTCCATCTCCCTCCTTGCCATATATGTACGTAGGTAGCCAGGCAGCTCACGCCCGCCCACAAACCACCGAGTGCAAATCAGGGGGTGGGGCTCTGCGAGCGAGTGCACGTGACAAAACTCCTAACGTTTTCGGTATAGCACAGCCGCACAGCGCCTGAATTCTCCACTCTCGACTCTCTCTGATTGTGATCGTTCACGTAGGGCTCCTGTTGTGTTTCTTCTGATGAGGGGTGGAGGACAGGAAGAACTAGGAGTGGAACTACATAAATTGGGGAGAACCCGAAGTAGTTCGACCGTTTCATAAAAGGAAGGTTCTACTACCAAAATATCAGAGAAAATTGGGCGCACCATCACCTTTAGAGAATTTTGATGAGCTTTTGGTGAGAGCTCGTATGGTGGATCTACCCCGCGTGGTTCCAAGAAGAAGCCTAATGCCTCCAACTCTTGAGTCAAATGTTCCCCTAGAGGAATTCACGTCCAGATCCACATCAGGCCGCCCTTCCACACGAAACACGACCAAGAAAGGATGTTGTTTCAACTGTGGGGAACCCTCACACTTCCAGAAGGACTGCCCGAAGCTGCAACCCGACTCCATGGGACAATCTAGTGGAGTATCGGCCCTATCAGGTGAACCAAAGGGGAGCGACCCACCTCGAAAGGCATGGTCATCCCTTGCATGCAGACAATGAGTACATAGAAACAAAGGTACTGTCCATCATCATAATTGTGCACACTGAGCGAGAGTATGAGGATGGTTGGCTTGTCTGGTCAACTGGTTTGTGCTGGCTAGGATTACTTGGAGGTGCCCCACAATGACCAGTGACCATTACAGTTATCTGGGTGCACTCTGAGGTGGAGACAGTTTACCAGATAACCAGCAACTCAAAATTCAACACTTTGAGAAGAGATTGTCCAAAGGCCTTTGGTTAGGTGTCAGTGTTACTAGCCAAGTATGGCTACAGCTATGCTTACTACAGGCTACTGGTGTAACATCATCATCCATATAATTATTATAAAGTTTAGTCCATGGTCAAACACTGCAGAACAGAAAAAAACAGTGTATAAGTGAACAAAGTTGTATGCACAAATCAAACCTTTTTGTCACTGTGGGGGAGGAAGGGGTCGAAAACTACTTCTACTGGTTAGGGGGGGAGTGGGAGAAATATTTATAGGCACTTTGAAATCTGTAGAAATCAAAAAGTGCAAAGATGGTAGGGGACCAGTGAACAAACATCAATAAAGTATAATGCAAACCTTCTTTGTGGTTGGCTTCGGAAAGAAAACTGACACGCTTCAACTGTAATATATATACCATGAAATGAAGTATAGCTAATAGCTAAAGACCAGTTCCTCCCCAGGTGTTGAATGTGCCGTGCAGAAACAGGGATAAACCACCCAAACGGGCAGTAGAACAGAGAGAGAGAGAGAGAGAGATGTACATCTCTGCGCAAAAGGCAAGAAGGTCCCACAGATTATGCTGCACCCCACTTGATTTGCAATGATATCAGACATCTTGGAGATAGATAGAAAGGGTTGCTGCAGAAATCTTCGTGGGTGCAGGCTTGTGTGTATATACAATATGTTGTTCTTCAGATGAGTTGGCTGCTCACACATCAGGAAATAGCATTCTTCATCAACAAACCATATATCCCCCAGACCAGTGCACAAAACATTTTACACAATACTAAAGACCAACAACACCATTCACCACCCCAACAAGGGGTAGATTGGGGATTGGGGGGGGGGGAACTCGGAGCTTGGGTAGAGGAGGAGGAAGCGGGGTTGGGGGCAGCTCCCACAGCTCCGCCTGTAGAGTAAAATACTATAATTCCAACAGTTATTGCGTGCATATTGCAAAGTGCATGACAAGGTGGGAATGGGATCTGTCAGTGGGTTGACATAGTAAGCAAGAGAGAGCATATTTACCATTTTGGCGAAAGTCACCCTCCTCGTTGGTGGTGGTTCTGTTCTTTCTGAATAAACCAGGTCAATGTATTAGGTAATAGAATTGTAAATGATTTACTTTTTACGAAACAGCAGCAGAAGAACATGTTGCGGCTTCACCTTCTTTGCATCGAGCGCCTAACATACCTCTGCTCTTGAATCTTCCGCGGCGTATTTACTGGCCTGCGTGTGCATGTGATGTGTGGACGGCGGGTGTGGGGGTGTATAGCGCGGGAGCCCCACCCCCTTTTGAGCCTCACGCAAAATGGCGCAAAATGGCTCTGCACCTATATCAACAGCTCTCAGTCACAGCTACTACGTCAAGGTGTATAACTAACAAACAGAAACTGCAACACTCTTGGGCATAAGCTGCTGTCTCATCCAGTTGGGGTGGTGAATGGTGTTGTTGGTGTTTAGTATTGTGTAAAATGTGTTGTGCACTGGTCTGGGGGATATATGGTATGTTGATGAAGAATGCTACAGCTGATTATTTCCTGATGTGTGAGCAGCCAACTCCAGAGAGAACTGATCTGAAGAACAACATATTGTATATACACACAAGCCTGCGCCCACGAAGATTTCTGCAGCAACCCTTGCTATCTATCTCAAAGATGTCTGATATCATTGCAAGTCAAGTGGGGTGCAGCGTAATCTGTGGGACCTTCTTGCCTTTTGCGCAGAGATGTACATCTCTCTCTCTCTCTCTCTCTCTCTCTGTTCTACTGTCCGTTTGGGTGGTTTATCCCTGTTTCTGCACGGCACATTCAACACCTGGGGAGGAACTGGTCTTTAGCTATTAGCTATACTTCATTTCATGGTATATATTACAGTTGAAGCGTGTCAGTTTTCTTTCCGAAGCCAACCACAAACCCACTGTTCTGCAGGTGGGTCTGCAGCGACCACCCTTATCCACTACACAACACTCCAGGTGTAATTACATGCATAAGAGCTGAGACAAGCTTATGAGTTGCTTATCGACTTCCTCCTGCAGTTCTTTTGATCGTAAAAGAGAGAGCCAATGACATGCACTCAGATAAATCTATAATACTGTCTTTGTGATTATGGTAGAATGAGGCGAAACATATGGCTAGGGACAGGAACGTTGCCATCGTCAACTTTGACCTCTGTTCATTTAACCACGCACGTACAGTGCAGCCCCACCCCCAACCGCTAGCTAGCTAGCTAGACACAGGACTCGGGGTCGCCTGCTAAGCAAGGGGAAAACATACGTTCGCGTGTGGCACAAGCAAGTTGTTTGCGTATAATTATTACGCAGTACGATTATATGTTACGCGCGCAGTTACCATGGAGTGATATTCCTTCTTTAGATCCAAGCAAGCTGCGTTGGTGTGGAGAAGATTCAATCAAGCTGTGTTGCTGTGTATATCATTGTGATTTCAATGAATATCATTACAATTTTACATCACTTGGTGGTTTAGTGATTTAACCACATGCTAACCAGCAGTTGACCACATGATGTAATAGAAGTGGCATTGTATAGAAGTGTGCTTATTGTAGAGTTCATGTGTACAAGTTCAGTAGTGATGAAGCTGCCTCCCAGAATCCAAAACAGTGGGAACATTTGTTTTGCCTGTTCAACCAGAGTTTTTCAGAGACTTGCTTCATGATGCAAAGCAATCTCATTCTCCTGAGTGTGAGAATTGTAAACGTAGTAAGTAATAATAAAGAGTAGGCGCTTGCAGCATGAAACAGAATTACAGATAGATGCATCATAATGGCTCTTCATGGTATTTTGGAGAAGTATCAGTATGGAACCCCAACTACCCTCTCTTCATATGATCTCTTTCACTCCTTGAAAAGTGAGGGAGCACATAAATACATATGGCAGTAAACATACATCAAAATAGGTGTGGGTTCGTTTTTCAAGCCTGGAGAGGAGCATGACGCACATGAATTTTTAGCTTTCTTGATGAACTTTCTAATGGAAACCATGTCTGAAGAGTAAGAATTCTATTGTAAATGTATGAAAGAGACTTGGGAGTTATTTTTGCAGGAGGAAAGTGGCATGTAGGAAGGAGACGTACTTATAATAGTAAGAAAATATGCTAGTCAAGTTATTATACAAGGGTTCTGTAACACTTGTGTGTCAAAGATAGTTCAGACAGATTTGGATGCTTATGTGGAAGTGCATGCTTCTTTATTGATTGATGGGGTAAATGTGTGCACAAAATTAACATTCAAGCATATGAGCCCTCGTACAGAAAACAAAGAAGGTGAAGCCGCAACATGTGAATGATTTGTTTCTGAATGAGTTTGAAGAACAGACAATTTCTGATTGAAAATGCAGCAGGTATACCTTGTTATAAATATCCTCACAATCTATGTATTTAAAAATAGTTGCAGAGCCAGCAGAAATATGACTATCTCAAACAGTCCTCGATACATGTTTGTACATGTAACAAAACACAACACTGGGTAAGTAGCTATTGTCGAAATCATGTATTAATTAAGAAAACACGCATGCAACAGAATGGGATATCCAAAAGCAGAAATACAGGTACGTAAACTATGATGTTCTACATCTTTGGAAATGCTGCTTTGACACTTTTTAGAATGCCTTTCTTCGTGTTAGAAAAGGCATCTGTTGTAGATTGGTGGGGGCTGTCATCCACTATCATTGCGGAAAAAATTCTGGCCACTACGTAAGCTACACAAACAGAGGCAGTGGTTTCTAGCTGACGATGCCCATCTTAGTACAGTCATAATCTATTTCACAAAGCTGTAATAATGAACCTTCCAGATTAACAGGATCCATTTCTGCTACTCTATGAAATAAGTGGTAAATACAAGAGATTTTCACAACATAAAATGTGTAAAAGAGTGATTGTATTAGTAGATGACACAGTGTTTACCCTCTCAATCACCCAATGCCAACGAGTCATGGGAAATCAGTGGTTCTCAGATGAAGTATGTGTGATTCCGTGTTGATTATTAAAATATGAAATTACCTTCAATGCTACTTTGAGCTGATTTGCCAAGAGGCCAAGGAGGTCACACATTTCCCTAATGCATGCATAGAGTTTATCTTGCCTTACAAACAGAATGATGTGAATGCATTTGCTGTCAGCTCACAATTTGTGCAGAAGCTGCAAAGTGATGGGTACAAGGGTGTTGCCCGGTGGTATAGAAAGGTAGGTTATAGCAATTACATTACAAACCTCAACACTCAGAATTCCTTCAGGTGAATTTGATGCAACATGATATTGTATATGTCATCATCAATCAGGGCCAATGCCATTGGACTCTATTGGTAAGCTATACATAGCATCCAAGAACGATATTGTGATAATCCACACAGGTGCTAAACACCAAGGAAAATTTGGCAAATTACTGATACACCACTTTACTGGAAGATACTTTGGTAAATTATTATGTAGTTTATCAGTCGAATTATTGTCTGCTTGTAGTGAATATTATGATGCTCGTTGTGAATAACAAGGTGTAGAACGCAATGATTGGGAGAACTGGAATTATGTTGCCGTGAAAGTAAGCACACCTTTATATAGGTTTCACCTTGAGCTAATAAGCTAATTAAATCAATTAGGATATACCACAGCAAGCAAATTCTTCAGATTGTGGGGCATTTGTCAGTCAGGTATAATATTATTTTGTTAATATATATACAATGACAATAGTTTGGATTATACCACATGAGGGAACAGCCAATTGATTTCCAACAAGTATGTTATTTTAATAATGTTAACAATAAAAACATGTACATTACGTAGTGTGACATGCCAATCATTCGAACAGTCGGAAGGCCTCACAAAGCAGCCTCCCTCGACTCCACCAAAGTCTAAAGTGCTCTTACCTCAAAATAAACTGGTAAAGGGAACAAACCGTTCCCTGAATACCACTTCAAGATCTGTGAATGCATTAACCAGCTCAATTCTTACACCCAGTAATGCAAATAATATCTCTCCCAACTGCACCAAAACCACAGTAAAACACCCTGAGACCCAGGCAATCCGTAAAGTAAATGATGAAGAAAAGATTTGTAATAATTGTGGCAAAATATATTAACACAGATCAGCTTTGTACAAACATAAAAGAAAAGTACACCCAACAGAACGGAATTGCAAAGCAGGAAATATAGAAAATAAATGTAGGTATGTGAGAAGGCACTTAGAATTACAACATGGAATGCAAATGGAAAGTAAGAAAAAGATGTTTTCTACAGCAGAAGGTAATTAAACATATTTTAAGCGAGTATAATCTTTATGTAACAATACAGATTTCTTGCTGTGGAAGGAAGAGTTTGAAAATGCAACTAGCTCTTGGTTTGTTCAGTTGAGTGGAAAAAGGAGCTTTTAGACTGTGGGAAAACCTATTACTACTGCAACCGAAGCGGTCATTTCCATACCAGAGGTACAGGGCAGAGGCACATAAAAACACAAGGTACATCAAAGATCAATGCATATTGCACAGCAACAATTACAGTAACACGAGAAAGAGGAAGTGAGTGCATTGAGGTACAAATCTATGGATCCCATTATGGGCACAAAACAGCATTAGGCCATCTACGACTGCAACAATCAGACAAAACCGCTATTGCTGCACAAGTTGCCCAGGGGGTAAACTTTCAGCGTATATTAGATAATATCCGGGACAATCTAGGCAGGGATTTCAAGCGCATTCATCTTTTGACAAGAAAAGATATAACGAACATTGAGAGGACATATGTGACCGTCCACGTGAAAAAGCGGTATAAGTCGGCAAAATATTTTTGGATATTTCACCGGATTCCGCGTTTTCTACCCTTTTGCTGTGCTCGTTCAAAATTTGTAGAGGATGACCCGTTCCATTCTGGAGATATAGCTGCTTTTGTACCTGGGCTTCAGACCTTCTAGATCCGGAGAAACGGCAATTTTTCTACGTGGAGAAATTTTTCCGCATACGCGTTCCGTTACACGTCGTGCGTTGACAAGCCCCCTAAAGCCGCTCGCACGCTTGTGGAACGAGGCTATCTCTCGTGGAAACGAAGAAGACAGGCTCAACGAAGGTAGCAGATAAGCTTTTAGCATCGTTGGTAACCCTAGCTCCTCGTTAGGCAGTTGTTTTTTTGACGGCCCGGTAATTCCTGTTTATTGCGCCCGTTTATGGGCGCGTGGAGATCGACGTAGCCTACTTCGAGGCGCCCTGGCGAGCGAATTTCGACGCTCTAAAGTATGTAGCTATCTTCTAGATAGATGTAGGTCCTTCTCAGTTAAAAAAGTCTGAATCGCGCGGTACCCGCTGTTTCCACTTGTAAGGCTGTTTACTAAAAATCCATTTTGCCGACTTATACTGCTTTTTCGCGTGGACGGTCACATATGGGCACAAAGATGATGCTACAAGTGTATGTTTATGGGTAGAAGAAATGAAAAAAAGTTAAGATAACCCAGTCATTATATACAAACCGCAAGGTATGAAACAATCAGAAAATTATGATAATCTCGGTGAGAAAGACTTTGTCATTGGTATTCAAACACCTCTGCAGAAAGCATAATGAAAACATTAACCAACTGAAGAGTTGTATGCGTGGATGGTACGCATGGTACCAATGGGTACGATTTCATGCTTATTACTGTAATTGTGATTGATGAATACGGTGAGGGTTTTCCAGTTGCATGGTGTATCTCAAACAGGGAAGATCAGCTACTACTAATTAACTTCTTCAAAGCTCTCAGAAAGAGAGTAGGAGACTTGTCTCCTGCTTGGTTCATGTCAGATTTAGCTGAACAATATTATATGCTTGGGTCGCATCGTTTCATAACCGCCCTCGTAAGCTTGTGTGCACATGGCATCTGGACAGAGCATGGAGGGAAAATCTCAAACTATTGCAAGACCGCAGCTTACAGGCACAAGTATATCACAACCTCAGGGTACTACTGGAGGAGCCTGATAAGAGTAAATTTGAAAATCTCTTGGACGAAACAATAACACAATTGGTAACTTCAAAAGAAACAGAAAGGTTTGGTAAGTATTTTACCACATATTATGCACCATCCAAAGAACAGTGGGCAGCTTGCTACCGGGCTGATGCTTCAGTCAACACAAACATGTATGTTGAAGCTTTCCATAGAGTTTTAAAATATATATATTTAAAAGGTCGTATTAATAAGAGGCAGGACAAATTCCTTCAAGTTCTACTAAAACTAGCCAGAGATAAAGGATTTGAACGACTAGTAAAAATGGAAAAAGGAAAAAATACAGAAAGAATAAACATGATCCGAATGAGACACAAGACTAGTTTACATCTTCCAGTTTCTGCAGTACATTCCACAGATAATGTTGACACATGGGAAGTTGATTCAAGTGAGGTGGGCAAAGTATATTAAGTATCACAGCTAAACAAAATCTGCCCATACAAATGCTCCACACGTTGTGCTGAATGTGAAATATGCGTGCATATGTTTCTATGCAGCTGCCCTGATACCTTAATCAAAGGCTCAATTTGCAAATATTATTATACATTTAGTTGGAAGATTACGCTTAAAATCCATTACAGAGATGGATTTAGCAGACAATTCTGACTCATACCCTCCTGAGCCTTCGCTCCCAGAAGCAGATAACTCTCTCGATAGTGGTTCACCTGGAGAGATTGTATACTTTTAACCACACTGCAAGATAAAACTCAACTCAGTGAGGCCAGTGCAGTCAAGAATGATGTTCACACTTCTATCTTATGATACATCGACGATGTAGGGATACTAAAAGAGATTAAAACCCGCATTATATCAACTGCAAAGCAAACAACCAAAAACCACATTCATTTCCAATAACAAACTTACAACCAGCAACAATGCATATAGACAAACAAAGGTAATTTTTTTCAACCAAGAAAAAAAGAAAAGTTAGTGTAAGAATACGGAAACCAACTGTAGATGAAAAGAAAAGTATCAGCAAGGCCTTGGAAACACATTCAAGGCTATATGGTTCAAAGAAGGAAATGCCTTTTACAACAACATACAGGGGGTAAGTTACCATGGCAGTTGACCGAGTGCTATATAAGTATTATTTTACCATGCTAGACATGCTTTTATGGATATGCAAGCCTGAATGCATCTGATTAGGTAAGCTTATAACACAAGGGGATCTCCTGTCTGAATTTCATGAAGACGTCTTGGACACACCTGTGCCGACTGCTCTTCAACATCTGTTCACCAAGGACACATGGATGGCTGTCATACAGCGAGGTACATTAGCTATCTACAATGACACTTACTGCTGCCAAAGGAAGATTGGCGGTGTAACAAATGCACCATCATCACCGCAAAAGAAAGCATGATTGCATGCGACAACTGTGACCAATGGTACCACTGGTAGGCCAACACACTACTCTTGGTAACACATGCTTGGCTATCTTCCTTTGCAGGAGCTGTGTTGGCGTGGAGTCTGAGCCTCACGGAAGCTGGCTGTGCATTGGATGCACGGCCAATAAAAGGACTAGGATGTAACAAAACTACCTTCCTCCTTGTGTTTATTTTCAGCTCAGAAAGAGGGGCGGCGCTGCGCGTTCCCTTTTTTTTCACGCACTCTAACGCATACTACTACCGTTCCTGTCCCTAGCCATATGTGGTGTCAAAGATAGCTCCTTTGTGCTGATGGTGGGAGTGAGGGATGGAAGCATCTGTCTCTCATTGACCCACAGCTCATCATAGTATTAGCACCATGGTTATAATAATGTTCACACCATGATCAGCATCCGCTGCACCTGTTGTAGCATGGAAGAGTATAAAAGGCTTATGAGTTGCCTTTTTTCTTATCGACTTCCTCCTGCAGTTCTTTTCATCATAAAAGAGTGGTGGGTAATAATTCCACCTTCTCCCTCCACGGGACACACAAATGTCAACCTGGTGGCAAGGCACGTATCTCTTTGTCTCCACCCCGCCCATCTAGTGACATGCGTGCTTGGTCAATGTATTTCTGGATAGCTAACTGGTCATCTGAGTCAGAGACAGCATCGAATGGAGCAATAATACTGAGCCAGTTGTGGTGGATGGTCTTTACAGAGCATCCACTCACCTACAGCCTTTCTGAAGTCAGCATGGAAACTGGCTCTAAACGAAAGTTTTGCTGATGACATGCACTCAGATAAATCTATAATACTGTCTTTGTGATTATGGTGATGAGGTGTCAAAGTGCTATGGTCCTCCTTTGTGCTGATGGTGGGAGTGAGGGATGGAAGCATCTGTCTCATTCACCCACAGCTCATCATAGTATTAGCACCATGGTTATAATAATGTTCACACCATGATCAGCATCCGCTGCACCTTGTTGTAGCATGGAAGAGTATAAAAGGAAGGCCAGAGGACTAGCCCTCATCAGGAAATCCAGCGGCCATGGCAACAGGAGCGGCTAGAGGTGGAGGAGGATGGAGAGGAGGAAGAGGAAGAGGAAACGGCAGATCCAACGACAGACACACAAGAAACGGAGTGGGTGAGTAGCTATTGCTTTGCTATAGACTTTTTTGCGACGCTGTTGGCCGTCGGCCGGCTATATTCCGACCCCACATGCGACGGTGCTCGCAAGCGTCACCATTTTGCGGAAGGACTGAAGTTGCGTGTATGTACGTAGTTCGTAGAGACTAGCGAAGCATACGGTTTTGTAAAGCCGAGTTCGGTGCACAGCGCTTTGACTACGGACAGCGAACTCAGCGGTGTGCTTCGATCTCAATGCGACTCCAGTCCTTCCGCGAAGGGTGACGCTTGAGAGTCGTTTACCACTGCATATTACGTGCTCAGTCATGGGGGTTGGGAAAGGCGTGAAGGTTTCGCTATAGCTACCAAGCAATTATTTTGAGCATAACTTACAGGTTATCTCATGGACTACTTTGTGAGAAAAGACAGAGAAGAGGAGAACCAGAGGAAGAGAAAACAAAGACAAAGGAGAAGAAGAAGAGAAGTAATTGCTACTGAAGGATGTTAGTAACAAGGTTTTATCAATAATTCTACTCATGCAGGAACTGGAGAGGTGCTTGAGGGACGGTGAGATGGAGAGGGCGAGGGAAATTGCGAAACAAATGCAAGGTTGGGAGTTGGTGGGTCTTGAAGAAGCCCTGAGAACAATGAAAATCACAGGTAGCTATGTCATATTTACTTCAAAACAAATGATAAAACCTTTACTATGCAGGTGCTACTCCAACTCCCAACCCCCGCTCTCCCTCCCCTCCCCCCAAAGAGGGAGAATCATCTAGTGGGTATGGTGTGTGTGTGTGTGGCATTTACTTCAACCCAAATGATACCTTTACTATGCAGGCACTCCACCTCCAACTCGGACTTGCACTGACATAATCAATTTTACTTACATCAATTACTTACCTATTATCATTACTCATATATACCTCATTATATTTATATGCAAAGTGCATGACAAGGTGGGAATGGGATCTGAAAAGGCTGTCAGTGGGTTGACATAGTAAGCAAGAGAGAGTTCAGCAAGCACAGGGAGAGAGAGGGCCTTGTGAAACATGCTCTCAACAAAAATGAAAATAAGAAGCCTAAGTGCCGAAGCAATTGGCAAAAAATAGTAATGTGCAGGAAATTTCCTGGCTACTGCCTCAACGAGTTGACGGCGTACAGGGTCCGTTCGGTTGAAAGATAGGGCCCTTTCACAAATGCGGCGGTCGCATAAAAATATGGGGGGTGATTCACGCCATAATTATAGCGGATAAAAAGGGTGAAAGATCATCGTCGACGGTAGAATTGTCACTAACGAACGGTAGAAAATCGTCGTTGAACGATAGATCGACGGTAGAATTGTCGCTGTCGAACGAGTGTAGAAAACGTCGTTGAAGATAGATCGACGGGTAGATAGAATTGTCGCTGTCGAACGAGTTTAGAGGTAGATAGAAAATCGTCGTTGAACGATAGATCGACGTAGAATTGCGCTGTCGAACGGTAGAAAATCGTCGTTGAACGATAGAAAATCACGGTAGGAAAATAACCGTCCGGTAAAATTGTCACGGTCGTGGTCAATTGCGCATGCGCAGATACACGTGGTGTGGGGCAGCACGAGTCGCCTAGCCTCGCGCCTAGCTATAGCTTGCTGCTTGTTGCTATAATTTCAGCACCTATGGCTGCGGATAGGCTAGAAAAAGCTCGAACCCTGCTTCAAGAAGCAGTTGAAAGTTTAACGGAAGCTACTCCGACGGATTCCACTCCAGCTCCGTCTACTTCAAGTGCCTTTCCCCTTCAATCTTCCTCTGGGTCGGCTGGGTCGACTTCTCGAAGCAGCCCTGTGGTGAAGGAGCGCAATAGGCTCTTTAAACTTCAAGAGGAAAGCAGGAGGAATTCAGTAAGGCCTCTTCTAAGTCAAAGAAGAAACGCATTAGCACATGGAACCACGATTTCATATGCTTGCCCAGTACATCGTGTACCATTGTTCCAAGTGGCATTGAAATGGCAGAGCTAATGAGAGGGGGGTGGGGGAGGAAGAAAGCAGTTGTCACTATTCGAGAATGATAGCGCAGCAGAATTGCATTCTGAAATCCTTTATGCCTTTCCAGCCCTGAAGGATGGAGGTGGGTACGAGCTGCTACTGTGAGCGGTGTGTGGTCCTCGGAGTACACTTCATGTTATTCCTCAACCACTGAGGGCTATAATGTTTCCTACCTCAAGGAGGTAGTTCGGAGGCAAAGGTTACATACGTCCTATCAACGAGACCTAACCTAACCCCTGAAATGGCATTGTCGACATCCGAATCTGTAAGTATATCAATTTCCCCATAATTATACACCTTCATAGTGTAGCTCTTTTGCATAGGAATGTCCAACTGAAGAGTGCAGAATTTGCACTAAACTAGTTCCTCTCCCCAACTAAGAAGCATTTGGAGGAATGCAGTAAGATTGCATGTAGATTTTTGTTGCTTTTAGTATTATAGCTACTTCATCTGTGCTTCTAGAAAACAGGAAGATAATGATGGAGTCATTGAGGATGATTTTACTCAAGAGGATTTTCAAGTACCCTTTGATGTTACTGAGGATGAAGTGAGATTTACAAGGGAGCCTACAAGACGTACAATTCACACACGAGTGCAGATTACAACAACGTGTTGTAGGCGTCTCTCTTGTTGAAGTGTGAATAGCGTAGTATGTTGTAGAAGGACACTCTGAATGTAGGGAAAATCTAGGACCCGCTTTGAAGTCCCAAATGGACTATATAGTATGTTTAACCTCCGAAGAGAGGACAACTTCTCAATAAGGGACGAAATTCTTTGTCCCAAACATGTCTATTACTTTGACTGTATAGGACAGTGCCAAGTATTCTAGTGATGAGCAACATGATCTAGAAGAGGCTATGATGCAACAGGCAGTTAGGGAGAGTACTGGATTTATTGACCAGGCAACCAATGAGTTGTAAGTAACCTAATGTAGCAACAACTTGCTGTTTGATGATGACTGTCAGTCTGACTAGAAGTGTTACACCCAAAGAAACCACACTATAAATTAGCCGGACAACGTTACCCAGCACTGGGGATTGGGGGTTAGTGAAAGGAGTGTAACTGACCAAACCTTTTAGTAATGTATGACGTTTTCTTTTTTGTTGTCCATACCACAGTTCTCCAGATTCCTTAAAAGATATCATTACATTTTTGCAAAGCAAATTGAGAACTGATATCCATGAGTACAATGTTCGCCGTAACCATCTGTTTCATGATTTGGTGAAGAAGACCACAAAACGGTCCTTTCACCATTGAGCTGGTTTATACCGACTTCATTGGAGAAGCGGGCAGTGATACTGGAGGTTTGACCGTGAGCTCTGCGCCTCTTCGAAATGTATCTGCGAGGAGAGCATATTGGAGGAGAAGAAGAATCGGTATGGTTGCTCTAGACACATGATGCACCCTCAAAACTGCAGGTATATCTTAAAAAATTATTGTAGGTGTGTGCCATCTCTCTCTTTGTAGGAGGGTATCTTCCGTAAGTGTGGAATCGCTTCTTGGTCTAACTCATAGTCGCAGGTGGATCTGGATTTCCGTTTTCTTGCCCCCTACCCACTTTTTCTTACCTTTGTGCCGGATATTCGTGCTGTAACTGTTGGTCAAGATGAATACCTGATATAGAGATTGATCGTACTTGACGAGGTAGGGCGATATTATGATTCAGCATGCCTGTGTCATTCTTGACTTGTTAGATTGTTGCTACCAGTGATGACGTAAAACTTCGTGAGATGGCCATGAAACATTCTGATGTTCTAATCTCCTGTGGGTTCACAAAGCCACTTCCTACACTAGTTCGGCAGATGTTCCACTTATAATCGGTGTGTAGCACTACACACTACATTACTACAGGTAATACCTTTATATATCATTGCAAGAATTGCTAACTGTCGTATTATACCCACAGGTAAGGCAGAGCTTGATGACATAAGCTAGGCCTTTCAGATGCTGGTGTATGTAGAAATGATGACAAAGCTCCTGATTGTTTTAAACCATTGTTTGTGCACAGTGAGGATCCTCTTACAGCTGGTAACCATTTCTAACATGTAGCATTACCAGTGTTTGTATGTAAGAGTATGATGGCATTTGTATAGATCGAGTGACTGGGGCTTTTCCAGTTCCGTATGTTTTTCTGAAGCAGAGGACATCAGAGCTGCAATAAGGAGCAAGCAAACATATATGCATTTTCGAGACCTCTTGGAAGACAGAAAGTGAGTTGCTACATTGGGGGTTTACTAACCTCATGTGACATTTTCTCATGTACATGTGTATTGTTAATGGAGTTCAAGCGGAGGAGATGAGACTGCTCCAGTTCTACACTTGGGTGACTGTCTGTCGTTCTTCACTGGAGCTATCGGTCACTACCTCCTATGGTTTTCATGGCTGTACTCTGAACTTTAGCAGCAGCAGTATTTCCCCACAGCTTCTACCTGCGCCCTAACGCTTACTCTTCCCCTACTAAGTATTATGATAATTATCATGAGTTCAAAGAGAAAGTTATGTTTGGGTTTTAATAACCATGGAGGGTTTTGGCTTGTGCTGATCCATCCATGCAAGTCGGTTTTCTCCTTATCTATATTATATGACCATCACATGACATGCTAGCTGATACTTGTTTCTCACTATTATACCATCATCACTATTATTTTGTATATATAATTATGATTAAAATCAAAGTGAAACATACTAGTGATCATCAACATGTGACTCAACAAATCTGACAGCTTCCATATAATATCCAATTCCATAGTCAGAGTCCTCATTTGTTAAGGGGAGAGGAAGGGTGGTCTGAAGTTCCTGAGTCTTGAGCAGAGAGTGGGCAGTCTATGGCAGGTACAGTCACTCGCTCAACATCATCATGGGTTGGTAGTGGAGCATCCCAGTCAATACCAAAGAGCTCTGGGGACACACCTGACTGGATAAGACATAGCTACAATAAAACAACCTCTATAAAGAGACCCAATCAATCTAACCAGCTGTGAATAGGAGTCCTTTGGGTGCCAGCCCCGAGACCCATAACTGCTGCGGAGAAAGTCCGCCTTCACTCTGCATTGGGTGTCTCTGTTCCATGCTTGGGCAAATGACCTTAGACTGGAATTTATCTTGGCAGGAATTAATAGTGCAAGCTAAAAAGGTGAATCGGGTTATCCGGTTCAGTAGACCTTCGTCTCTAAATGGTTGAACAAATTGTGTACAGCACGTGCAGGCCACTGAAACAATCTCGCCATAGAACGTTCTATGCGGAGTTGTGCACACTTCTACCGTGATAAAGCTGCCCCTCTCTGGTCCACGTTCTGGGTGAGACCACATATACTCAGCCACTCTCACGTCTCTCCTCCACGGTCAGAACGTACTCGCTAGGGAGCCATATGCTCAACTGCACCCCTAAAGCAGTGAACCAGTGTCAGCTCTGTTGTTGTCTGCACACTGTAGGTAGGTGATGACTCGGTGTGGCCATCAATACATCCATGAATCACAAATTTCCACTGTGTGTGAAATATAACAAAATTGCTTAAAGAGTCCCTTTGAAAAGTCATACTGTAGGTTACCTATGAGCTTGTGAGTTTCCGTCAATGTGCCATAGTGCAAGAGGCCCATGCCCCATTACTCTATAGTACGGCGGTTGACCGTTGACAGTCTCATCATTAGCAGCCACCAGGGTCACGCGCCCGTTGACTTCTCTAAACACGACTCTGCGGATACGTAACCCTTGAGCTCGAAGACTGGCCATCATTTGTCGGTACCGCAGAGAGGAAACTCGTGCTGAACCGCGGGCTACATCTCATAGTGTGCATCGCTAATTACAGAATAGGTATGCCGTACGGACAGGCCATTCGTACAGTCTCCTGTGCACAGTTCGAATAGATACGCAGAGGTGTCCGAAATGTGTGGGACAGAAAACCAGTGCTAAGAAGATTTTCGAGCACATCTTGTGGATGAATAACGTGGTCGCCCAACAACACCCTCATGACCACTGGTGACATGAATTCTGCTGTTCTGCCAGAAAACTCCTCCAACCCCTCCAACTCTGCTACAGCCTCACAACCAAGCTGCACACACTAGACACATCTGCTTCGCCAACAACATCAGCAGCGGCTAGTTCACGGTACACACTATTTGGAGTTGGTAGAGAATTGATGAAATAGTATCACTGGACGGACTCTGTCAGTCGAGACACACAGGTATGTCGGCTAAACCTCTCCTCAAGCTGAAAAAGCACCACCGGAGTCGGACATGGCGGCACGTGACCTTTGACCCCCACGACGGCCTACGGCAAACACGGAGAAATTTTCAACGGTTCTGTGGTGACCGAGAAAACCGTTGGGAAATTAAAAAACGCCGCTTTCATTCGGTTTACCGAGAAAACCGTTGGGAAAATGTTAAAACGCCCGTTCATTCATTACGCGGTTGACAGTAAAAACCGTTGGGAAAATGTTAAAAACGCCGTTTGAATTTTTCGGTCAACGACTGTAACTGTCGAAAAAATAGCGGCTCAAAATGCATGGCATTGAGATCATACCCATATCACAACTCCTCTCCCTCTCTCCAACTCGTCCTAGAACATCCGATCCCTAGAGCGTCCTAGAGAAACTCCCTCTCCCGCGCACTCAAACTACTTCCATACGTACGCATGCCGCGCCCGTGTATGGAGGAAAGTTTGTTCTTGCCCTCTTGACCTTGGTACTTTGTGTAACTTGTGTAATGTGCAGTGAGTGAGAAATGGACCAGCCCATTGTCAATGAGATTCACCATGCTGGCTCTAGATTTCCGTTTTCGGAGGCAATCACTGTCTCTCCCCACCGTCGGCCTTATGGAAGGCGATACGGCACGTCAGTCACTCCGCGGCAAGAACAATCCTTCCTCCATACTACTACGGCGCATGCGAACAATGACAGCCTCAACGGATTCATAGAAATCAACACCTACCTCGAACCATAATGCAGTAGCGACGATGCAACCTATCCACAAGTCCAGCAACATGCCGGTGTAGTGCGTCCGTCCGTCCACGTTTTTCTCGGTACCGCGGTCAACTCCTGAGCGTGAAACGTGGACATATTTTCAACTAGGAGTGAGTGCATGGTAAAGAAGATTCTAGGAGGCGGAGAAGCCCGGGGACCTGGTGAAAACGGACGGCTGCTGAGGCTGGGTGTGCGTCAAACCTAGATCGCGACCATCTGTTGCGTGGTGTGGAGAAGATTTGCTGGTCTGTGCTGTATTGAGTGTGACAGTTGATGAAGATCGAGATTCTACCGTGAAGTGAGAGCAGCACACGCCCCAGTGAATCCGTCAGTGGAGGAGTCCTGAGGTAGCGTAGCTATAATGTATGTATCTGATAGCCTCCTAGCCTATTTACAACTTGAACGTTAGAACCACGAAGATTGCAAAGATTATATACAGCCTCGGTAAGGTATGGAAGAGCGCAGCGAATAGGCAAGCCTCTCTCTCGTCGCTGGACAACAATCCGCCTTTCTCGATAGCTTCGGAGGTGTTCGAGCTGCGTTTCCCCTGATTCCGCAGCAAGTCTCGATTTAGCTTGTACACGACGACGTCTTGCTAATCGCGCTTCCCTTTCCTCCGCTGTTTCTGTGGCGAGGCGTTCCCTTGCCCGTTCCTTATCACGCAGTCGGCGTTGAGAAAGCCGAGCCTCTCTCTGCTCAGGAGTCTCACGGGCATGATGATCTCTTTCCCTCTCTCTTCGACGACGAAGGGCATCTTCTCCGGACTGATCCATGATTGATCGATTTGCGAGAGTACGGAGCTACACACACGCGACCCAACTTGGGATTTGCCCGCGATGTTCCGGCTGCATAACGTGCCGTCAGCGCACAGCTCTTTCTTCCTTTCAAGACGATCTACCTGTCGCCGTTACATGCGTACTGTACATTGGCAGAACGGTGAGCAGGTGAGAATAACGGTACACTTACCTTCAGAGTCGTGGCAGCTGGCATGCAGCAGTATCTGCACGAGCAATCCTAGCTTATTTCCAAGTTGCACCTTCGAACCATGAAGATTGGGAAGAGGTACAGCCTCGGTCAGTCACCGAAGGTTGCAGTCGCTGCGTCGAATGGAGGAGAGTTCTCTGGCTGACTAGAATCGATCGGCGCATATCGCGAGGCACGTGGTGAAAATGTTTAAAATTTTTGAAATGATTTCTGATAAAAGAAGCGTCGTAAGAAGCCGCATGGCACTTACCGACGTAAACGCGGCTTACGGCGAAAAACCGTCCGCCTATTTGCGCTTTCGTGAGATGCCGTGTGTGTGTATGTGCAATATGGACTGCTCCTTTAAGGGGTGCGCCTGTTTAAGGCCGGAAGACCCTGCAACAAAACTGGCCTCCCTAGCAAGCGGTGACCTGTGTGAACACTCTTCTAACATCCCCCTCTCAACCAATCCGTCCCCCGTGTCCCGACTCCATTTAACGAACGCCCCCCCCAACTACCGACCTGGAAGTAACCGCTGCCTCCAATACTGCCGTCCAACCAACAGATACAGACAACGAATGCAGCACACAACTACCACCACCTGAACGTGGAGTAGACCAGCGTTCACGTGGGGAAATCATAGTGCTATTGATTTCCAACATTTTGGAAGCTACCTACTCCGAAGTAGTCACTGGAAACGTAACTCTTCACAGTGCCATTTGGCAAAGCGGGGAGAGAATTTGTCAGCGAACTTCAAGCGCTTTTTCAAGCCTTCGCCTCTGCCACGGCTCTTGAGTCAATAGCACTTAAGGCTGCCACTGCCTGTCCTCCCAATCTGCTCTTGCAAAACCACAAAAAGCCTCCAAAGCTAAGGACCACGCCAGCTCTCTTGAGAGGAGACTTAGATCCTGGAGAGAGGCAATCTGATGACCTACTACTAGAGGGCAGAGCAATTCAAGGAAGGCTGCGAAAACTTCAACACCAAATCTAAAGAGAAAATGCCCGTGCTCTTTCGCCGACTTGATGTTTGCAGGGAAATGCAAGGCTGCCCTGGATCTCCTCTCCACACTGGCGAGGTGGCATTTTACACTAGACGACCACCTAGATCCACTACCGACTCTCCTAATGTCCGGGAGGTGCTGCTCAGTAGCATCCAACAGGCCAGACTGCCAATTCACTGCATCCTTCAATCTCCCCCTCAGGAGGCACATCCTTGATCTTCGAGTCGATCGATGCCAGTGTCATTCGCTCAGGCTGCGATGAACATCACTGGTCTTCCGGACCTTATCTGGTATGCACATGGTGGAGGAGACTATGGTACATCTTCAAGGGGCCTTCAAGTGAACTATGCCACTCATTAGCCCTAGTCGCAAGAAGAATATGCACCTCATATGTCGACCCAAAATCGATATCACCTCTTCTGGCCTGCCGGCTCATTGCCCTAAACAAGAACCCTGGTGTCCACCAATAGGCATTGGGGATACTGTGCGGCGGATCTTAGCCAAGCAGTGCTGTCAGTAATGAAACCTGACATCCAGAAGCCTCGGGCTGTCCTCCAGATGTGTGGAGGACAGTATTTCTGGCATCGAAGCAGCAGTGCATGCCGTGAGAACCGCCTTTGTACTCCAGTGACACTGAAGCAGTCCTCCTGTCGACGCCACCAACGCATTCAATTCCTTGAACCGTCAGGTTGCTCTTCATAACATCAGAAGGCTCTGTCCACCACTCGCACCCATACTCATCAACACATACAGAGCATCAACAGAAACTGTTCGTGGATGGCGACACTCTCTACTTTCCCAAGAAGGTACGACACAAGGGACCCACTAGCCATGCCCATGTATGCCCTCGCCACCATCCCTCTTATCAAAAAACTGAAGGGCAACTGCAAGCAGATCTGGTATGCAGACGATGTAGCCGCCGTAGGAAAGCTAGCAGACCTGCGTGTGTGGTGGGACCTTTTGACCAGAGAAGGACCTGACTTCGGCTACTTTCCCAATCCATCCAAGACGTGGGTAGTAACAAAGGAAGGCTGTCACACTACTGGGCTCTCTACCTTTGCTGGCACAGGGGTGAATGTTACATCCGATGGCAGACCATATCTAGGTGCAGCAGTTGGCTCAGCCGAGTACGTGGAGAGTTATGTGAAGTCGAGGGTTGACTCCTGGCTATCCATGGTGCGCAACCTAACAACAATAGCAAAGACTCAACCACATGCAGCCTACTCGGCTCTCACACATGGTCTCTCAAGCAAGTGGACCTACCTATGTCGCACAGTTCCCAATATCAGCAACCTACTAAAGCCGCTCGATGACATCTTGCGTACCGAACTCATCCCAACACTTACAGGAAGGCCCCCACCTAGTGACCTGGAGTGTGCCATGTTTGCCCTGCCAGCAAGAATGGGTGGACTGGGAATAACAATCCCTTCCACTCAAGCCGACCAGGAACATCAGTCATCCTTACTGGTTACCTCTGCCCTCCAAGACCACATCACACTACAAGATGAGGCCTACGGGTATGAAGTCATTGCCCAGCAATTGGAATCCAAGGCCATTGTTAGAAATAGAAACAAGGAAAATCGTTCAAAAGCCGCCGGCGATGTGCTAGAACTTTTACCAGACAACCTGCAGAGGTCGGTGAAACTAGCAAGCGAGAAAGGATCCTCCACTTGGCTCACTGTCCTGCCACTTTCAGAGCATGGCTTTGCCCTGCACAAAGGAGCTTTCCACGATGCCCTGGCATTACGGTACGGCTGGACACCAGAGAGACTTCCTTCGAAATGTATCTGTGGTGCCTCTTTTTCAGTTGAGCATGCTCTGTCCTGTGCCAAGGGCGGCTTTCCATCGATCAGGCACAATGAGATACGGGACCTGACAGCTACCCTCCTCACAGAAGTGTGCAAGGACGTGTGCATTGAGCCAGAGCTTCAGCCTGTGAACGGTGAAGAATTGACGGGGTCAACTGCCAACTCCCAGGAAGGTGCCCGCCTTGATATCGCTGCAAATGGTGTCTGGGGTGGTACCTTCGAGAGAACCTACTTCGACGTTAGGGTATTTAATCCCCATGCCCCGTCAAACAGACACACCAACCTGCAGTCAGTCTACAGAAAGCACGAACAAATCAAGAAGCGTGCATATGAACAGCGGATAAGAGAAGTTGAACACGCTACCTTCACGCCTCTGGTGCTCTCTGCTACCGGTGGCTTGGCCAGGGAGGCCAACACTTTCTACAAAAGACTCGCCTCCATGCTCGCCTCCAAGTGGGACCACACCTACAGCCACACTCTCCGCTGGCTACGTTGTCGTCTAGCCTTCTCCCTTTTACGCTCCTCCATCCAGGCCATCAGGGGTGCAAGATCATCATGCGGACATGCCATCAGAATGCCCATGGCGGTCGATTTGATCATCTCGGAAACACACCTTGTATCACTCTAAATTGCTCTCTATCTTCTTCTTATTTATACCTGCATTCATACTGTATATAATATAACGTCGTGTGACGTAAAAAAAATTAAAAAAAAAATTAAAAATTAAAAAAAACTTACACGACGGACGGACGGACGGGGACACACACGGACGTATAATTATATAGGACCACTAGGTTAGCTCGCTCCCGCTCGCCAATTATGAGCACGGCACGTGTCACACTAAACAAACTTTTTAAAAGCTGACATCAGGAGCATTGTCCATCATAACAGCAAAATCTCAGCAGCCTCAGTCTATGTATGTCTAAACGGCTGCTGAAGAAGGGAGCTCAACCCAGTGGGGAGCCCCCCATGCAGAGTTTAACGAGTAAATCTGCCCGTGGAAACCACGACCCACTCCATGCAGTGTGCAGCCACTTCACAATCTTCTCCTGGTAGTTTCATGTGGGTGGGAATCAGGGAATGGCTTAGAAGAGCCACACCACCACATGATTACAGTATAAAAAAGGTACGTTATAAGGAGGTAAGGCTATTCATATTAGCAGCACATGTGACTAATGTTTTCACCTAGCAGGCAGAATAATTACACCCCTAATTAAGTGAGTACAGATGTGATGTGGTGTAGTATAGCTTCATGCTAAAACACTAATTGCAACACAGCCATAACCATGGTGTACATCACAACCAAACACAACAGCAGTTCTGCATTACAAACCTGGGGGATCGAGATATTGGAGTTTCTTGTGAGGTGTGGTTACTTTCTCCTCATCTCTCTGGACAGGAGTGAAGGAGGTGGAGGAGTGGGTGGGTTGTTCTCCTGCAGTTGAAGAGGTGAGACCTCTGGAACCTGGGACTGGGGTGGAGTGGGGTCTGGTGGGAGTGGCTGGGAGGAGTCGGTCTCCTCTGGGGATGGTTGGGGCTGGTTCTCCTCTGGCTCTGGAGGTGGCTCATCATGGGGCACTGTTTTGAAGATGTCACGTCTCGTGTAAAAATCATGAGTTATTAAAGATATATATACTGCAATTACCGAGCTGTTCTCCAAGAGAAGGCTTGTAGGGAAAGTCGAACAGATTAGTTCCACTCACAATGGTCACTGTAATTATAGTATAACACATCTCACACAGAACAATGGCTACTGAGTTGCCAACCTTTCTCCCTCTCTTCTGATTCGACGGTGGCAATAGTCCCAACATCACACTTGGTATCCTCATCCTCCTCACAACTCTCACTGACAGTTAGAGCCTCCTCATGGAGAGCAGGGTAAGCAAAAAATGCTGATCTGGCACCTCGCTCCCCGCTTGAACAATCATTTGGCATCATTTTCTAGGGTATTCAGAGCATGTTATGCTCACTCTGCACAGAGTCAGCTACATGTTCAGGACATACCTTGCCTCCCCTGCTTCCATCTTCATTGTTGACATCATCGAGAGCTACTGTTTTCTCTACTCCAGGCACCATCTCACCACTGAAGTCAGTGGACTGAGATGAGGCATCAGCAACTGCAGCACAAAACACTGTTCAACAACGCTTAGTTTTTCCCCCTGCATACTCGGTGCCTGCCACTGCTCTTGTGGCTCTGTATACCAATTGTAGGAAACAACAACTGCCAAGTGTTACACATTAGAACACTACCTTCACTCCAGGCCTGACGGGCCAGTTCCACTTCCCCCAGTTCCTTCAGTACATGAGACAGTTTCTCCCAGGATGGCTCTAGTTTGGTGACCCAGATCTCCACACACACCTGGAGACAGCCCTCATCCATGTCGTTGTTGGTGTCTATCTCATCAATCAGATCCCCATCAAACTCCAGACCCTCTGCTATCTCCTTCCAACGACCTGCCACACCCCACAACAGTGACATCACTGACTCCACTGTGGGGGATCCTGGGGGAAGAGGAGACATGTAATAATGTAGGACAAGTAACAGTGCATTGCAGCCTTTCAACCTTTGGGTGTTGCCTTGTCTGCATTTGATATACAGTAGAACACATTACCAACATCGTTTAATCACTACTAACCTCCGTTGCCATTGTCAGGAGTAGCGGTGTGAGGTAGGACATCAACATAGGGGCCCTGTGTCGTGGACTCAATCTTGGGGGATTTTGGCCTTTTGGTTGGAAGAGGTCCCAGGTCAGCATAGGCACAACGGGCCATTCTCTGAGGAGAGAGAGGATCATAACATGAGTCATGTGACTATCATGTGATCATCAGCTGACATGGGTAGTTCTGATGTCAATCTCCTGGTACTGCACTATGGAGTCTATTGGGAGAGTAGGTTGTACTCTTGAGAAAGGAGTTTCCACCAATGTGTATTTACTCTCCTTCTCCACCTTGGTAGTAGTCAATGGAGACTTATCACTTTCACTAACTTGGTTCGGTGATTTTGAGTCTGCAGGTACAAAGTCTTCTTGTGATGATGTATCTGCTTGGACACCAGTCTCTATTTGTTCTTGTGAAGCTGTTTTCTCATTTTCAGGATATTCTGGTTTAGAGTGAGATGTGGGCATAGAAACTTGAACCTGCATGGCAAAAGAGAATCGATAGTGTGATAGACCAGCAATCACAATCATGTTACATACCTGTTCGAGACTGACTCTCTCCAGTTTCGGCTAGTTCTTCTCTCACAAAATACACCACTCCCAATTACTCTTACTTATTACTCAGTAGCAACGACAATTAGTGCAATAAGTGCATGGTCCAAGTACCCCCAGACCAAGTCAGTACAAGTCCAAGTATTACAGTACATAGTACCGTCAGTCCACCCCGTAGTTTTGTGTAGTAAGTAGTCAGTTAAGTAACCACGCCAGTAAAAAAAGTAGTATAAAAGTTTCAAGTACAGTTTCACCCAACCCAAAAAAAAACCCCCACCAAGTAAAACCCCCGTAACACCCAGTGAACACGTTAAAGGTTCACCCAAGTTACGTGTCTAAACCTAACACACCCAACAAGTAACAGTACCAAACGTAAGTAATTAAGTTAACCAGTATTTCAAGTCAAGTAGCCCCCCACCCCCACCCCCACAAGTCCCAGTAGTAGATCCCAAGTCAGTTTTAAGTCAAAGTTCCATGTTATTACCAGTCAAACAGTAGGACACGAAGCGGACTAGTAACAAAAGTAAGGTTTATTGCAAAGAGTAAAAACTTTGACATTTGTCACAGTTACAAAAGGTTTCTAAATAGTAAGGATTGCTTTTTTACCAGTACAAGTTATCCTCAAGTTATAACAGTTATGTTTACAGTAAACCAAGTCCAGTTATATTCCACCACCAGTTTTCCAGTAAGTACATTATACAGTACCCAGTATCAGTTTACCCCCCCATAGTTACCCACCAGACAAAGTAAAAAGTACCAGTGCATGTTGTTAGTTGTATAGTATGTAGTTTTGCCCTTGTATGTTTACCACACCCCAGTTTACCAGTTTAAGTTACAGTAAGTCCCAGTATTACACCCAGTTACCCCCGAACAAGTTTTTTATACCAGTATAGAACAGAGTTTACACCACAAGTCACACGTAAGAGTTCCCCAGTCAGTAAGTTCACCCACAGTAACCAACAATCCCCCCCCCTCTCTCCTTCCCGGGGGGGGGAACCAGGGTAACAAAATTCCCCACTTATTCTTTGGCTTTTCTACCACAACAGGTAAAAAAAGGAATGCAAAAAAAATGGGGGCAGGAAAAAAAAGGAGGAAGGGAGAAAGGCGAAAAGCGAAGACAAAAAAAATTCTCTAAACCATGGAATGAAAAAAAGCTCTGAATTGGAGGCGACAACAAAACCCTTCCCCTCTTGGTAACACCACATTAAAGGGTTTTGTTACGTCCATCCCCATAAAGGGAAGGGGTCCCCAAACTCCCGGCAGCGGAAAAACCCAAAAGGTACGGGCGAGGGGGGAACAGACGATACGGAATCGGAAACTGGAAAAGGAAGGGAGGGAAAGGAAGGGAAACGGCCCAAACGGAAGTGAGGGACGACGTAAAGGAACAGTCTACAAAACAGTAAAGGTGAGTACAATGTAACAAACACAAGTATAATTCACAAAGTAAGTTAGTACACCACCCAAACAGTTTTATCGCTCCAGAAGTAGTAAAGTTCACAGTATTGAGATTCTATTGTATACAAGTGCAAGACTAGAGTCACGTTGGTGTTGGTTGCTTTCTCCACCTATATCTTTCAGATATAAGGAAGTTTTTGCCACATTAAATTTGCAAGACCAAAAAATTTTGAGCCCTTAAGACGCCAAGCAAGTGACTATAGGAGGGGGAGACACCAGTCTCACACTACAGTAATCATGTGTATTACTACCTGTAGCCGTCACTGTGGGTACAAGAGTAGGTGACGGTATTGAAGGTGATGCAGAGACCTGGAACTTTTTTGTAACAATCGGTCTTCCATCAAAATCAGAATTACTTCGCCCAAATATAGCATATGTGTACTTCTCAGGATCCCCATCAACAGTCAGTGTCACAGGGAAGACAGTATTCTGAGGGTATTCCTCCACCACTAGTATCTTGTTACCATACTCTCGATAGACCAGGACACATGAGGCTCCCTCTATACCTTCTTTGAACTCACACCTGACAGTCACTGCTGTCCCAGTAAGGAATAATTCACTGCCACTTTTGAGAAAACGTGATGGTGCATCAGTAACTATTAATAGAGAATAAACATAAATAACCTCTGACTTCAAGTAAGCGTACCGGCGTGAAGCTACACATTGTAAACCTAACCTGTTCCGTCCACAGTAATTTTGCTTCTTTCATATGCCACATTGCTATTGGGTAGTCCATCTTGCTCCAGGTCATAAAACAGCATTGTGTATGTTGAAGGTGGTACACTGTCTATGGTAGCAACCAGAGTAGTTTCCGACTCAGGTCTCAGTAAAGCTCTGAATTCATCAGGTGACCCATCCTCAGACTGTAGTACTATGAAACATCCCGTGGCTGTTGTGTTGGCGATGAAATTGACAGTTACAATGAGCCCATTACCAGCAGCATTGACAGTGGCGTTCTGGACATCAAACGTAGCTGCAGTAAACAGAGAAAATTGTAATGATTCTAACACATCGTGATGCAGCAATCATATTACTTAAATCGATGACTATGGTAGTCACTCCACCAGTATCATTGAATAAAATCAGTGGCAAGGAATATTTTGCATCAGCAGCAAAGTAACACGTGGCAAGTTCTCCCAGAGGACCCCTTGGGATGCCGAAACAGGAATACATTTCCTCAAATAAAATGCGGTATTTACAAAATTCATCCTGTTGAGGGAAGAAGAGACATGGAATACCATTATGGACTTCCAAAGTATACAATACTCACTGAAGATGAAAGTGTAACTCTGCATTCACTCCTTGAGAAGAATTCAACGTGGGTCTCTATAACTGGAACCACTACATGGGCATGGGAAAAATACTTTCACAATAGTCATTTTACTCGGAAAATGTGAAATTAATAACACTTAGCTTAATAGTAACTGTTATTTACAGTTTATAGTTAAATTTTTGCTCCTCTCTCCCTGGCCAGCTCCGTTGAAAGGCACAACAGAGACGTTGTACTTATTAAAGCATTTAGGAGTGAAGGTGTAGTGTGTCTCAGTGATATTGGTACAGTCAGTACAGAGGATGGCTGTTGGGCTGTTCTCATCTGTCACATTGTAGATGAGGACAGAGTACCAGATATCAGGATTTCCACACCAGTTCACATCCGAGAGAATGGAGCACTCTCACGAGATGGTCACTGAGCTGTTTTTGTGTGTCCTCAAATCACTTACTGCTGACAGTGGACTGAGAATTTATACGCATTTCAATTGAGACGTAGATTACAATCATATTTCTAGAACTAGTACGCCTAGTTCCATGTCTGCGCAAGAACAAATATTAGCCAATGAAAATGCAAACCCTCGGCGCTAAACGGGTGAGTTGTAGTATCGCTGTATGCTGGCGGACGAAGGAGCCGTAACACGAGTCTCCACGTAACACAGGTAGTTGGTTTAGAGCAATTGCTCAGGGTTTCAGAGGCTCTATTTTTGCTTTATTCAATCTATCTGCTCTTCTGTGCTCAATGCTCTCGCCAGATTTTTATAGATGGGAAGGCATGGCTGCACCACAAACTGCTCGCAACTGAACTATTATGCTACATGCGAATATACCTTGCTCAGCATGTTTGTCCAAAGAGAAGCCTGTGGATATACAATCCAATTGTGGAGTAGCGATGCTCCGGCGAAAAATTGACATGGCGCGTGCCGACGATCGACCGACGTTGGCTTTTTTGCTTGTTTTCACGCTATATCTGGAACGCAGCGTTTGGGGAAATAGCCAACATTTATATCAATTCCTCGTTGTTCACAACCCTTGGTCCACTCATTGGCGCCTCGTTAGCCTGTAGGCTCGAACTCGCGCGGACAGACCAGACAGACAGACCAAGTACTGTTAACCCTCGCTGCGCATGCGCGCGAGGCGAGTTAAAATTACACACATGATTTTATGTCCTACCATACACATAGAGTTTGATCGCCTAATTATCTGGCTACTAGGGTGTAGAGCGTGAGCTACATGCTACTTAGACTCTTGTACTACGCTACGATCTCAATCCACCATGTGAGTCTTTTATATGCCACATGTACTCTCCACATTTCCCTGTCATGTCGTGTGCACACACTGATACGGTGCTGACGACTGTGAAGTACAGGAACCTGTATAGTTTGCACAAACACTCAGGTGAATGTTTTCCACTCCTCTGCCCACACCACAGTACTTTGTGACTATGTATACCGCAAGCCGCACATTATAGGTTACTAGCACCACTTGCTGTACTAGGCACAGGCGCCAGAGGGCTGAGTCTCCCCTAATCACCCCACCACTTGCTTTCCTTCTAGGAACCCAGGGTGCCGATGCGCATGTGTGGGGCGCAGAGAGCATACTTTCCATCATCAAACCTACATACTGTATGCTATGTTTGTAGTCAAAAATATGAGTATTGGACAGGAAGTCCTTATCACAACATCTAGCACTAGGCGTAGTGCAAATTGTCTGGCTTTCAAAGTTTACACAACAATCAGCAGAAATTCAGCATTGTGTTTCAAAAGTTGGACTACAAATTCAGGGTCTCGGCGTACAGGACAGCCTCGGAGTATATCCTGTACCACCACGCCGCCTGTACGTTAACTAATACTGTGAGGGCTATATAGTGACATCAAGTACACAATGATGGGCTGACTTCAAAACAAAACTTATCCAACTGCACCTACAGCCTGATGTGCATGCCTACAGTGTATGTATGTTACAATGCAAATTCGTTTACAATTGACTAGTGCAGAATATTGAAATACACAAACACAAGACAAGTACTGTAACCCATGCTATGCCTACGCAATGAGGATTAACAAACAGACACACAGAAAGTGAATACAGGTGGAGGGTTAGCAAAGTGTAAAGAACTAACACCTTGAATGGTCAATGTGGCGTTGTCACTCTCCACTACTGGGCCACCAAATAGCCCTGAAACACACTGAACTCTAGTTCCATTGTACTGGGCTCTGGCTAGGATGGTCAGAGTGTGCACTGTAGTGCCTTCAGGAGTAGTACTCTCTTCTGAGACAACCAGGTCACTACGTATGTCAAGTGGAAGGATTTCTCGCTGTGTTCCATTGAGTCTCCACGAAGTGATGCCACCATTTGTCTCACATGTAAAAACTGCTGATTGGTTTAGAAAGACAGTTGTACTATTGGGAGCATGGAGAATCTCTGGAAAGAATGAAACAGACACAGTTGGATGCATATGTGACATCACCGTGTATATATGAGTTTGTACTGGCATGGTTTAGATATTACTATGCAAATTTATTATGTTAATGACCCAAATTTTGTCCTGTGGTCATCATTGCCATCTACACTTATACCATAGTTGCCAATTAGATTTGGTCCCAAGCCGATAGAAAAACCATATTATCGGGGATTAAATATTACCTTGTGCAAAACAGTGGGCTGGAATTAGTAGAATCAGCACCAGAATTTCACCTCCAACTGTAAGAAATTGCAAGTGAACCCAACCATATCTGATATATAGTGTGATCTTGAACCCCTACGTGAGTGACCGTACAATCAGATGAATAGACAAGAAATTTTTCACAAGGCAAGTGAGCCAACTGTACAGTTGTGTAGATTGTGGAACTTCAGACCTCTGTGCAGTATATAATTGGCGAGCAGGAGCGAGCCAACCTAGTCGTTCGTTCGAGAGGATTTTTCGGTATATCTTCTTGTGAGAATTAATTAGTGGTGTGAGAAATAATTAGTGGTACCGGAGAGATAAACACACACACTCACATGCACACACAGACCGCTCACTGCAATTTAAAGCTGAACGTTAATTACTTACTTGGAGCCATGACTTGATTATCCACTGCAATAACTGGCCCTTGAGGCTGTAGAGGAATTGTTAAACAAACCTGTGGTAATTATGCAGTCTCGGGTAAAAGCAAAAGAGGGGTCGGGGCCTGGGGTGGAAGTATCTCCGTACAATCAGATTACTGACATGCTAATAGTCGCAATTGTAATGATATTTGACACTCTCTCCCACACATACACACAGGTAATATAGGAACAGGTTTCCGAGAGCCACACCTACCGACCTTGCCTGTCAGCATTAGCTCCAAACCCTAGCCCTAATGCTGTAGTACATCTTTGTCTCACAAAGGTATTCCTGCTGTGCCACAAAAACCCTTAAAAGTTCTAACGCTGTTGGGTCCTCCTGGTCTTTATGACACAGCATTGTACATAATTATGCAGTAGTTGACTTTTGTGGGACAAGGGTAGATGAGAACTACACTGCTGGTCACACTGCTGGTCACACTGCTACTAATGTACACTTTATGTAAGTCAGGGATAAAAGGCTCTACTAAGGTACAATGTACAACGGCTCCTGGTTCTCACTGTTTATCATGCATGCCGTAACTCCACCAACTTTCAGAGTATTTTTTCGTACTCGTCCCTGTCATGACGACGTCACTACTAGGTGTATTATTGTATGCATGGGTGTAAGACGGAACTGAAAAACTGTCTGAATTCCTTGAGAGCAACAACCTGTTTAGACTGCCATGGTATATACAAATCACCTTGCCTTATGAGAATTGCTGTACACATCCCATCCCATCCCATCCCATCCCATTGGCTGAATAACAGCGACAAATGCATGTGATGGTGGTCGAATATCGCAGCTTGGGCGAGTCATACATGTAGGTATATATAAAAGGCTCTGGCTGGGGCAAGGCACTACACAGCACACTTTTATGGCACAACACTCAAAATGGGATATGTGCAGCAATTTGTCAACAAAATCATTTTTGGGACTATACACTTCGCAACTTTATCCCATGCATCTTGTTGCGTGAGACAAAGTTGCGCCGTCAATGTTGGGCTTTACAGAAGGCTGCCATTCACAGCTAGCACCAGTCCCTCACACTCCTCAGTCTTTGTGAGAGGGGCTAGTACCGAGACTAGCCAGAAAAGACAACACCGGGGTGTTAGCGCCGCCATTTTAACCGTGCCGTACCAGATCATCCTTACTAGCCCTGGTCTTAAATACATACAACCTTGCTTGGTGAACAACTCACTGTGAAGGTTTACTTTTTCGACACCGTCAGTAGAACACGACAACCAAACTACGGACGTCCAACTGAGTTCTTTCTCGATTCGACCTTTCGACCGTTTATGGAACACTGCAAAAGTATGTAAAAGTGCATGGGCGAGAAAATTGAACGTGACGTCACATCCGGAGTCTCCGTTCGGGCTCCAGTATATAACAGTACGGAACTATACTTAGAGCGGCGCAGCGCGTAAGTTTTACGGTATGCTCTATTACTATTGCGATATTACAGTTACCGTAGTTAAAAAGAACGGACGCTCTAGCTTGTTCCTGCGCGGAGATCTGGGCAGAGAAAGGATAGTTGTTAGGAGATCTGGGTCACCAAACTACAGCCATCCTGGAAGAAACTATCTCATGTACTGAAGGAACTGGGGGAAGAGGAACTGGCCCGTCAGGCCGGGAATAAAGGTAGTGTCTTGGCAGCGACTGTTCCCTACAATTGGCATACAGAGCCACAAGAGCAGTCGCAGGTACAGAGGAGGCTGACCAGTGACTCAAGCTCAAGTGGAGTTGGTAAAACACTACCTGTGTGGAAGAACCAAGTGTTGTTGAAATGTGTTTTTTGTGCTGCAGTTGCTGATGCCTCATCTCAGTCCAATGACTTCAGTGGTGAGGTGGTGCCTGGAGTAGAGAAGACAGTAGCTCCTGATGATGGCAACAATGAAGGTAGAAGCAAGGTACGTCCCGAGACATTAACTGACTCTGTCAGAGTGAGCACAACATCTAAATAATATCTTAGAACACCATGCCAAATCATTGTACAAGCGGCGATCGAGGTGCCAGATCGGGCTTTGTGGCTTACCCTGCTTCCCAAGAGCTCATTGTCAGTGGGAGCCATGAGGATACCAAGTGTAATGTTGGGACTGTCACCGTCGCATCAGAGAAGGAGGAGAAAGGTTGGCAACTCAGTCACCTTGATTCTAGCTGAGATGTATTAAAACTGTTTTTACAGTGACCATTGTGAGTGGCACTTATCTCTTCGACTTCCCCTACGAACCTTCCCTTGAAGGTAAAATATACACAGCCCAGTTGTGCATCATTATCTTTAATAACTTACATGGTATATTCAAGAATGCCACATGCTTTCTTCATTGGAAGACAATGGTAAGTTAACTCCCACTAAGTAAGGTTTGTTAAGGAAGAGTTATGTACTGCAGATGATCCTGACTTTGCTCAGATCCAGTGAGTACCCAGGGACCAGATGATGACTACCACTCTGAGTCCATCAGTTCTGGGAGACAGACCAGTGACGCAAGCTCAAGTGGAGTGGGTAAGGTACCTCACCTGTGAACTAAGGATGAATGGTGTTTTGTACTGCAGTTGCTGATGCTTCATCTCAGTCTAGTGAGGTGGTGCCTGGAGTGGAGATGGCACCAGCCACTGATCGTGTCAACAATGAGGGAATCAGGGGAGGCAGGGTATGTCTGAGAGTTGCATAGCTGACTCTGCAGAATGATCACAATATGCTGTAGAATGTCATGCCAGATGATTGTTCAAGCAGCGAGCAAGGTGCCAGATCTGTCTTTTTGGCTTACCGTGCTCTCCACGAGGAGGGTCTCACTGTCAGTGAGAGTGGTGGAGGGGATAATGGTACCAAGTGTGATGTTGAGACTAACTCCACCATTGAATCAGGAGAGGGGGGAAAAGGTTGGCAAATCAGTAGTCATGGTTCTGTGTGAGATGTATTATACTTGTTTTACAGCGACCATTGTGAGTGGCACTTATGTCTTCGACTTCCCCTACAAACCTTCTCTTGAAGGTAAACAGCTCTATAATTGCAGTTTACATCTTTAATTACTCATGTTTTTCACATGTTGCTCAAGAAGTCCACATGCTTCCCCCATTGGAAGGCAATGGTAAGTTAACTCCCACTAAATGAGGTTTGTTAAGGAAGAGTTATGTACTGCAGATGATCGGGACTTTGCTCAAGATCCAGTGAGTACACAGGGATCAGATGATGACTACCACTCTGGGTCCATCAGTTCTGGGAGACAGAAATCAGCAGCCACCTTCCACACGGCCAAGTGCTGAATATTTGTATCTTTGATTGTTTGTTTCCATCGTTTTATAGGTCGTTGGAAGGGATGTTATCACAGGTTTGTGTTTGAACTTCAGCACTTCTGTAAACCTTAAGTGTTTCTTTTTCTGTTTTCAATTCTCAGGAGGTGTGGTGGTGGTGATCCCTCAGCAGTGCACTGATTTCAGAGGACCAGAGGAGATGAACACAACCAGAGGTCCATTCAGACCACCTGTCAATGAGAGTCGGCAGTGTGCAGGAAGGTTTGGGCTCAACAAGGCAGTCTACCCTTCCCTTGGTTTTCAGGCTGGAGAAGGTATATGCACACCCATATAGTGGATGGTTTAAAATTACATGCATTTCCAAGGAATGCTGGTGATTGGAGGCCCATACACGAGACATGACATCTTCAAACCGGTGCCCCATGATGAGCCATCTCCAGAGCCACTGGAGAACCAGCCCCAACCATTCCCAGAGGAGACCGACTCCTCCCAGCCACTCCCACCAGAGCCCACTTCATCCCAATCCCAGCTTCCAGATGTCTCACCTCTTCAGGTGCAAGAGAACAACCCATCCTCTCTTCCACCACCACGCACGTTCATGGAATGGCAAGGGCTCGATCCCCCAGGTTTATACTGTAAAGCATTATCAGTGGCTTGTGTTACAGTATGAAGGACTTCTCCATAGTAAGACTAAATTGTAAATTGTTCACATTCAGTGAGTTTTCTTTGCAATATATAGCACAGTTGTGGAAGTTTGCCTTTACCTTGTGTTGTATTTGTGGTAGATTTGAGCCTCTGCCTGGTGAGCTGCCTTTCAATGGTTCAAATCCCACCTAGGATAGCTCTTATAAAAAAAACCTGGGTGTATGGTGACTTTTTTGCTTTGGCTTTGCCTCTGCTTTGGCTTTGCCTCACGATAACATGTGTGCGTCTTGATTCATCCTACATACCTGCCCTCCCAGCTGTTCCTTTACTCCCACCCACAGGAAATTACCAGGAGATCATGAAGTGGCTGCACACTGGAGTGAGTCGTGGTTTCCATGGGCCAGATGTACTCGGCTCCCCACACGGTTGAGCTCCCTTCTTCAGCAGTCGTTTAGACATACATAGACTGAGGCTGCTGAGATTTTTTTGTTGTTATGAAGGATAATGCTCCTGATGGCAGTTTTTAAAAAAAAGTGTTTAGTCTGACATGTAGCCATGTTTTCCCTCATGATATTTTTATCCAGAACTTGTAGGTGCCAAGTTCTCTATCTGTTACATTTTCAGCTTTTACTATTACTGTATAATTATAGTGTGTATATGCTTGTCTGACAAGTAGTCATTTTATGGTGCATCCCATGTTCTATTCTGATAAAACTTTAGTCTTCACACTCGTTGAGCATGTGTCTGGTGCAGGGGGAGGACTTTGCTTCACATTTTTTCATACATTGTGTGCACTCCCCATTATAGTTATGCATGCACACATGCATTTGTTGGCATAATGTTCATTTCGGTTCATTAGTATGCTGTCGTGTGACACAGCTTAATGTGAATACCGTCTTTCCTATTATCTAAACACGCCATAATATCTGGAGTGCACTGCTAACCCACAGCCACATATTATTATTATTTCAAGGGGTTAATGATGCCTGGTGCCAGTTTCTAAAAAATAATACTGTATACCCTTTTTTATGTTCTCCCGCTCTTATATATTTCTCTGGAATTTTATGGTGCATGTGTTTATTCTGATGAACTCTAATCTGCCTGAAGTCATCAAGTGCACAGTGGAAACTGGCTGCACATTTTCCCAATGTGGTTGTGCATTGTGTGAACACACATGTCCAACTGCAACCCAAATACATGCAGTTGGCATGGTTGTTATGGTTCATTAGTGTGCTGTCATGTGACACTGCTTACTCAGCACTGTGAATATAATACCATCTTTCCTATTATATAAACATGATGCCATAATGTGTGGAGTACACTGTGTACGCACTAACCCACAGCCACATATTATTTCAAGGGGTATAATTAATAAATAATATTTTTCCCGGTGTCAGTGTGTTATGGGCAATAAATTACGCATTATATATTGGATGCATAAGCCACTTTCTAGTCTTAAGAAAAACATTACATTATTATGTATTGGATGAATGCACAGCATAAGCCACATTCTGGTCAGTGGGTATTGTGGTGGTGACATAGGCTGTGTTGGGTTCAGTTGGAATGACAGAGGATGAGGTGGTGGTTGGGGAAAGAGCTACCTCATCATACACCACATTTCTTGTCTCGAGACCTGCTGCAAAGAGACAACTTAGTAATTAACAACTGTGTATAAAGAAGTGGGTTGGAAAATTTTGGTGTGTTATTAAATCCAGATCCTTGTTTGATGATAATCATATTATTTACCTGCATCAGATGCACGTGTGGACTTGCTGCGGTTATAATACCGTCTGACCATCACCAGGACCAACACTGCTGAGCCACATACTAGAACACACACCACTACAGTGCCTGGAGGAGGATAAACCGTTGGGTTTAGCTTTGACACGTAACAAAATGGAGGTGGTGAGGAGATCTCGCGCACTTTTTTCACATCTGTCTGA